AATTTTAATTTGATTTTGAATTACACACTTGAAATACTAACCAATTGTAATATTGGTTTGCATAATAATAACAACTTTATTAGACAGGGTAACACCGTTACCATAAACGTTACTTTACAGGTGGCCCTGAATTATGAATCATATGAGCATGTAATAAGAGACTGCTATCTCACCTGATTTGCAGTGCTGACATTTTCGTAATCCATTAGTGAGTACTTTTATATCTATGATTCTACTTACATCTGGACTGAACTCTTTCTGTTGTAGTTGTTTCTGATAAATCCTATGATCAATCAATTACATGCACTTGTAATTTAGAATTTTTTTTAAAAAATTGAACCATAAAATTACTGTTTCTGAAAGTAAAGTACTACTAGACACAACACAGCAGCTTTGGCAGTCCTACCGGTTCCAAGTGCAAGTCCGAGTCCAAGTCCAATTTTGTTTACGCTTTTTACAAAAAAATCTCGCTATTGAGTTCTGTAAGGGAGGACAATACTGAAGAAATTTAACAAAAACAGACCAATATCACCTGACTGGCACGGGTTTCTCGTTTTGGCGGGGAGCATTCTTCCCCGCTGGGCTCGAATAGTAATTTTCTCTTCATCTTTCACTCGCGTAATCCTTGAGTCCTGTCGACTTTAGCTGGCCTCTTTGGAACAGTAAATCGACCACGTTCATCTCGGAATAGTGACATTTTTAGGCATTTTTTCTCATTCATCGCTGCACTAACCAAACTAAAGCCCCCAACCGTAAAAAAAACGTTTTTGATACGACTCATCTCGCGTTGATGGCTCATCCTTACGGTACGACACTTTATGTTCTCTCTTTAATTCAATTCTGTCAGAAATTTTCCCCCGTACTTTTCTTTACTATTTGGGTACCTTTTTTATTCCTATATGATCTTAACAAAAAAGAAAAACACTTTTGAAAAATATCTCGGCGTGTCGCCATCTTCGTTTTGATTTTTTCTTGACTTTAAAAGCTCGCGTCATCGCACAATTCGTTGCCATGCCTCGCGCGAAAAAAATATATGGAGCCACCTTAACTCACACAAGTTATATCTGTCAAAATATATAGGATGTCTTTCGCATACCTCTTCTCGTATGCGCTGGTGAGCCTGATTCATTTCCCCTTCATATATTTCTGCTTCAATACGAATAGATATGTTCAGCTAGTGTTGTGAAGCAATCCTGTATGTGTGTTATTGATATAAAGGAACAATTTGCGCACTTTACCTGTGTTGTGGTGCCGACGCTTTTCGCGCACGCTTTGCTTTTCTTGGCGGACTGGCTGGCTGACTGCAAATGCAAGGCCCAGATTAGGACAATGGAATAAACGAATGCAATGTGCAGCCCTGGGAAGCTTTACGTACCTATATACTGATCCATCCTGCACCTCTCTCTCTCCCCTACTTCCTCCCGTCTCCGACTCCGACTCCGACTGACTGCAAATAGAAATGAATGCTATTAAAGTTAAGCTTCTTACATCCACCTAGGGGATCTGAAATGGAGAAGTAGAAATGACGTAGAAATATATTATTTTGCACTACTTATTTATCAAGTATAAATAGACATATAAAAACATGTAACGTAATTTTGTGAATCATGATTGTATTTGTGTGTGAAACTGAACTTGTTGTTGTTTATTGTCATCTACGTACCTCACTTCCTGAACATCCTCCTCATACTGCGACTCCCTCGCTCCCCTACTACTTCCACCTGACTCCAACTCCGACTGACTGCAAATAGAAAAGAATGCTATGAAAGCTAAGCTTCTTACAACCACCCAGGGCAGGTGTCGGGAAGCTTGTGAAATTTGACCCGCTAGCAATAAAAGCCTGTTCACTATTGCAAGAAAATGAAAACCTCATTAGCTACTGTGTCGTTGTTGCCGACCTCTCTTATTAGGAGCGTTATTTTTTACGTCATAATTGCGAGAAGCAAAGGGACACCTAAGTTTTTGCAAACTTTCTCGATTCTGATTTGCAGACATTTTCTCTCAGATCAGCTGGACGTCTTTCATTCATAAATCAAGATCAATCGATTATTTATCTAGTCTTCGTAAATTATTGAAATTTTGATATCTAAGTACCATGTAGAATCCCGTTTGTGATCCAAAGGCCAGTGGGAATGAATGAATGCAATATGCAGATTGGGTTTCATTTGTCGATGTTGACGTCACAGCCGGCACTCTCTTCCATGTTCGCGAAATTTGAATTTTGTTCGTTAGCGGAGTGGCCCGTTTCAAACGCCTTTCGTCATTAGCGTGGCTCTTGAAAGTCTAATTTTTATGCGTGAAAGTAAGTTGAATTAACAGACCAAAAGCACGACGACGTTTTATACCTACGCTTCCAGAAATGTTTTGGTAGCTTTTGCTGATTTTGACTATTGTCTTGGTCATTCTCGAAGGAGTTTCAACATGATATGAATGACAAATTTTGAAAAGGATCATGGTAGTTTCGAGGTAAGAAGCGGCGTAGTAGGGTTGAGTTCTATTAAGCTTTGCATTTGTTTCATTTGTCTAGTTTACCCAATGATTTGGATGGTGGAATAAGGGGGCGGGCTAAAGTATACCTTTTGAAAAACTGTTCGATTCCTGACATCTTCGAATTCTTCTGCTCGACAATTACAAGAATAACTTTCAAGAACTTTATAAGTGATTAAAAAGAATCCCGCTTAATCCGGGACATTCTCCCATGCAATTGGCCGCGGCACCTAATCGCGGGCTCAAAATAACAAAAGAAACTCTGTAAAAACCATCAATATGTCTGCTTTCACTGCATTGCAAATGCATCCTTRWTCCTTGATGCATTATTATTTTTGCTGTGGTGCTATGTTTTCTCACTTCACTCTTGAAAGAAATAATAAGCCATCCATCCATCCATGCATGTATCAATCCATCCATCTATCCAGTCAATTTGTTGAATATCCTCCCTTCCTCCCTTCCTTCTTTCATTCATTATGGATTGAAAATACGGTAATAAAAAAAAGAAAAACTTATATGGTATGCATATTAAAAAGGGAATGATAAATATAAAACTATAATGATAACAAGGAACTATTTGATATAATGATAAAGGTAACATTTATATATACTGATATTATAACCTATCTAGCTAGGTTGATTGATTCATTCACGTGATGTTCCATATTACATTTTTGGGCTATTCCTTTTTTGCAATGGACACACTTGTGTGTGTCCTCAGGTGCCTTTTAAGTTTTGAAGTTGTTATAAATGCCTTGTCACAGAAAGAGCATGCAATGCTTTACAATGTGGTGTGAAGTGCCGGGTCTGTCGCAATACAAACAATCGTATGACTTTCCACCAGTGTGAGTCCGTAGGTGTACATTGAGTCCGCTTTTACTGCTAAGAGTTTTGTTGCAAAACCAGCAGATTCTTAGGCCCACTGAAATGAACAACGAGAAATAATGACATTTGAGCCATCGCTTTCCAACATCACAATACTGCTAGTGTCACCCATCATTGAATAAATTGCATGCATAATGACATGCACCGGTGAAAAGCCCTACAAATGCAGTCATTAATTGCAAAAAAAAAAAGGTTTGGCCAAAAGAGTAGGCCCTGAACCAGCACTTACGAAGGTTTGAGTCCAAAAGTAATTGGATAGTAATTAATAAAAATTCAGTTGATATTGTTTGATTGTTGGATTGAATTATATTTGTTTGAAACGTCTGACATCATTCGTTCATCATAATACCAAGATTAAAAATTCCCAGCTTCATTAAATCAATTTGAAAAAATTTCCCTAGGTTGAGAATAAAAATAAATGAATAAAATTAAGTAAACCTTCCCTAGCTTGACAAATTGTAGCATACACTTTACATATAAATTGAAAGTCGTTTTTTGCCTGAGAAGATGTGTGAGAAGAAGAGGGGTAAAAATAAAATAGATTGTAAAACTAATGGAGGTTGTAAATAACTTTCACGTAGCTCCAACTTAACCTGACTTTTAATAGTATAATATTCCACCCTATGTATTGTTATTAATGAGGTATGAGGCATCCACTCTGGCCTTCCAGTTCTTGTGAAGGAAGTGGGAACATACCTTTCAGCTCAAGGTAAAGGAAATTTATCCATGTAATGCATACCCTGGAAACAAGGCCTTTGCTGATACCAAATCTGTCAGCAAGGTCTTGGACAAAAAGCCCAGCCTTGAGTYTCATCAGTACTAGTAGAAACTCATCCCAGTAAGATAGCTTTCTTGAAGGCCCAGGTTTCTTTCTATTTTGATCCTCTTGATAGTCTTGGCTGTCTTTTACTAATCTGCTTGTCCCCCTTCCAATACTGCATCTTACGGAGTTTGGGCTCAATAAAGTTGAAGAAACTGATCAGTGCTTCATAGCAGGGAAATCCAGTATAGAACAGGATTGCATCAGTGTCTTGTTTGTTTTTTTCAAGTGAAAACTGACGGTCCAATAATACTGATTTGCCTTTTTCAGCTTCATTTAGTTTTTGTTGATAATCAGCTAAATCACTTTGCAGTAGTTCCATCTGTCTTTGTAGATCAGCAATAGTATCTGATGTGGTTGGTGTTTCAGTTAAAATTTCTGATTCAGCTGTTGGTAACGGCATATTTTCAGTTGAATCATAACATAGACCTGTAGCACAATCACCCCCTACAGTTGTGTAACATAGGACATTTTTATGAAAATAACAGAATCAAGTTGATGATAACTTTTCCCCCTAGAAATAGGTTCCCCAACTCCGAATTTGCACTTTTGGTGAAATTCTAGTTTTTCATTAGCATTTAACAGAGATTTAGAAAATTACCCATAATCCTTTGTGGGTGTAGTATCTTGGTATTTGCTTATTTAGTGCGCATGTAATTACGAAAAATATATGAAAAATTGACTTGATTTATAGTGAGGCTATGATCTCCTCGTGCATTTCAATTGCAAGTTTGTAGACATTTTTCTTCTTTTTCTTGAGCTCACCACACACACACATCTGACAGTTTGAGAAAGCACAAATGCCGTTTTCATTTGTGTTGAGTTTGTACGTCATGTCTATTAAGTGAGTGAAGCTGCTTTTCTCGTTCTTTCGCCGCTTTGCTAATGGAACCACGCCCAAGGTTAAAAAGCTTGGAAACAGAAGACTGGGTCCTGGATTTCACAACATTTCTTCCAAAAGAAAGATTTTTAACAGCTGACAAGGCTGCTCTGTTATCTTTAGAACCACTTTTCTTGATTTGCTTTATCCCCTCGGAGATGTCTGCTGCGAGAGCCTTGAGCGCACTATCCTCTTTCCTTTCTTCGGGTGTTTTTACTATTTCCTTTTCAGAAAGAATTTTTCTTGTGCGCGGACTTGAAATTAGGGATTCCAGAATCTCTGCTTTTTTCTTTGGGGATCCTGGCAAGGTATTCCTTATGACCTTAAGTGCTCGTGTCTTGGCCATACGATTATGAAAACCTTTCTCGGTAGATGACGGTACGGGAGCCGGCGGGTTTGGAATCGTGACACTTGACTCTTTCAAGTCTTCATGGTTGTTACCTATTAATTCTTGTCGTTTTTTTTCTCTGTATCGTTTCACCCTTTCTCTTGTTTGCTCTCTTAGTTTGGCTCTCCGTTCTTCAACTTCAACTCTCTGTTCTCCTTCACTTCGATTTTTCTTCTTTTTCTTTCCACTTGTGACGCTTCTCGTTTGTGGTCGGGCTTTTCTGCTGTCACGGCTTTGTAACAGCTGTGCAATTTTCCGCTCCCGGTTTCATTCATAATATTTCTTGTCAGAATCCTTCTTTTTTTCTTTTTGTCGATCTCGCCATTTTTTCATTTTTTCAGCATTAGAAATGCTTTTCTGGTTATTGACCATCATCGAAATGAAATCTAGAAACTTCACGGTTGGAAAATATAGCGTTGATGATAAGATTATTTTTAGAGGTCAAGTGTAACACAAGTTGAACGACACTGTGAAATATGACCTCGTGCTTCCTAATTTAAGCCCCTGATTATTCATAAAACACCCCAGATAACGAAGACTGAAGTGTGAACAACACATGCTTTTCACTTCAGTGTTTGTGGTTTGCAAAATTCTAACGAGATCGAGTTATCTTAAATAGAAGATGAGATATGTAATTTTATTTCAGTAAGTAGTGTTGCATTTTGTGTCCGGAAATGTATGTAAATAATTGTTTCCGATCTGAGAACTTCTTTATTTTTCGGTTTCTTTTGGTAAATTTGGAAAAGTTTTTTCACACGATGGTTAACAAGCCTTGRAACTTTCAAATTTACAAATAGACATTATTATTAGACTTGTCTTGGATTTGCTGATCGGACGGTTAATCGCCGTGACATTACGTTRAACTTGCAGYGTTACACGAGGACTCAACGTGGAAATCCTGTTCCTATTTCATGAAAAATAATTAAAAAGGGCCGATAATTTGTATGTTTTATTCGTATTAACAACTGAACTAAAATACAATATTAGATTTTTATATTGTATATTTGAAATAGGTGAAAAAATATTATTTACACTTCCCAACGATAACAAGTTGTTACGCGTTACACCTAAAATTAGGTAACTTTTTGGAGGATCTTCTAAATTTTTCCACTCTTGAATAACTTCAAATGTCAATATTTCTATGTGACATTAATCTCAGAGTATTATTGCTGCCAAGTACGGGTTTCGATTTAAAGTTCGCGATTACCGGCGAAGATATCGCAAATTATAACTACGCGACTCCAAATGTTAGGGGTGATCGTGCTACAGGTCATAATGAAACTGACACATTGTCAACAGAAGATACAACTTCTTTACTTGAAGGTAATTCTTTCGGTTTTTGAGCCATTTCTTTTTGCTTCGTGTTTGTTTCTGGATAAGATCTTTTAGCAGGTGGCTTTCTTTGCATTTTCTGTTCATTCCAACTAAACTTAGATGGCTCTGCACCTGAAGTAAGATAGTAATAAATATGTATAAGAAATAAGATAAAATGATCATTGTTATTATTTCAAGTTACTATATACTGTATAGTGTGTTTGAACTTGCAATATTTTTTTGTTTACAAAGGTATTATTTTGTTTTTTTGTTTATAAAGGTATTACGATAGGGAATAGAAATATATCAGATTTGCTAATAAAGTARTACATGGCATTCAGTTTATTTGCTTGAGTGTTAAAATTAAGTTTAATAACAAAGTCAATACTGAGTAGAAATAAATTTATTGTTCAAAAGCCTTTGGGACTAAAGGTAAACGATCTTTCATTCAATTTTATTGGAGAGAAACGAAATATAAAACCATAGTCAACATTTTAATGCACTAGTCAGTTGTTTCCATCCCCCACCCCCGGGACATGGTGGGGGAATTAGCAAATGAGACATGGCAATCTAAGACAAACCCTCCAGTACCCAGATGCTTTCAGTTTGATCCATTCATAAATTATCATCTTCATTATTATTTGTTGTTGCTATAATATTGATATATCTATTAACAATAAATAAATAATTGATAATATTTCCAAATTTATACCTCTTTTGCATACTTTAAAATCGCAACTGAGACGCCTACTGTATAAATACCGATTTCTTTGAGAATTTCTCTGTTCAAATCACGAACCATCTCTTCTTCCCGACTTACTTAATCGATGACAATCGATTATCGGAAACCAAACAATAAATCGATATCAATCGATGGAAATTACTTAATATCAATTGGTATCCGCGAATCGATGACCAATCGAAAGTCACACGAAGACCGTCTGCTAATCACATTGATTGGTATCGATTGGTATTGATCTACCTAATCTGCCAGTGAGCAATGGTGTGAAACTAAATGATTGATAGATGTAGTCTTCATTAATATACCGTAAGCTATTTACCATAATCTTGAACTCTCTTTTCAAATTACTCGCCAGGGATGCCAGGATGAATTAAATGAATCGATTTTCACCCAAAGCTCTCCACAAACACCACAATAATCAGTAAAATCCTTTGCTTGATTTGTGTTAGTGCCATTGCACCATAGGATTTAAACGGTTCATAATACATAAGATAAGACACCTAATTTGACAGGAAACGTCACGTGGAAACTTCTTCAAAGTGTAGCGCATTTCAAACCAGGGTATCCGTCACTCGGCATTTAAGCAATATCACCTTGTTCCTGCGTAACAAGTCGGTAGAATCTAAATCAAACTTCAAATTACAGGTAAGTCTCGTTTAATTATTCAATTCTACCTCCTTGCTACGCTAAGTCACAAGGAGACCACATGAGACTTTAAAGCCAGTGTTTGGGAGTGTATTTCACGTAAAAGATTTGACACAACTCCAAAGAACTACAATATTTATTCTCAAAAACTGAAGCTTTCACCAAGCTATAGTGAAACACGTTTTATAGGGTGCAAGGGACCAATTTCACCAGGGTTCTTAAGAGTTGGAGCTTAAAATGGCTTGACTGAACTGTCCATGACCTTGAGTGGGTTTCTTATAAAACACAGCAAATGTCCTGGCCTTAGACCAACCAGCAGAAGAGAGAATAGTATCCATAGACACTCCGGCTTGATGTGCAGCTGATGTTGATGCTGAACGTGTGCTGTATGGCTTGAACTTAGTAGTATCAATGCCAGCATCTTGCATTACTTTCTTCAACCATCTCCCTATGGTGTCAAAAGACACAGCCTTAAATGGCTTGGTAAAACTAACAGTAAGTCTTGTGCCATCTCCCCTGAGTGCTTGTCTTTCTTCAAGATAAGTTTTCAGTGCTGTAACCACACAAATGGAGTTGTCTGGTGAGTATGCCGATAGCACTATTGGGGATTGATGAGCTCCCATTTTGGTGTGTTTCAATGGGTCATTAATGACAAAACGGCAGCTAGTATCAGTGAATGACATGAATCTCGTATCGAGTAAAGTCAAAGCCTGTGTCCTTTGGCCAGACAATAATGTTATAAGCATAGTCAGCTTAAGTGAGAGTTGTTTAAGCGACAGCTCCTTAACTTGTCCCATGTTGCGAAGGTAATGTAAAACGAGGGAAACGTCCCATATCTCTGAATATCTTGGAAGTGAGGGTCTTTCTTGAAAGACTCCTTTCATAAAACGCGTATCTAAAGGATGCTTACCAATGGGCAATCCTGAAGAACATGACACAACAGTAGATAATGCAGATCTTACAGTATTTAATGAACTGTATTTTCTGCCTTCTTGATATAACATTGTAAGAAAATCCAACACTGACGTCACAGCGGGAGAAAATAGATTAATCTGTCTTTCAGCACAGAAAACTTCACATTTTGTAAGATAGGTTTGGTATTGCTTTGATGTACCTTTTCTTCAAGAGTTGAGCATGATGTTGGTTGCTTGTTCAGAAATGCCACATTCCTGCAGGGATCTCCTGACAAGTGGCATGCTACCAGCTGTAACCGGTTGTGGAGAGGGTGTGCAAGCTGTTTGTTGTATGGCAACTGCAACAGTTTTTTGGTCTTGGGGAGAAGTAGAGGCTGTGCGACAAGCATTCTCAACGACTGAGGGTACCATGATTGAGTCTCCCATAATGGTACAATGAGTAAGCCTTCGGCTACATCCTCTGAGATCTTTTGGAGGATTCTTCCAATCAGACTATAAAGGGGGGAAAAGCATAAAATGTGAAGTTAGCCCAATTGAGCGTAAATGCATCAGTAGCCACAGCCTGTGGGTCAGGCCTCCAGGATGCATTTTTCTTAACTTTATAGCTAAGTCTAGAGGCAAACAGATCAATATGTGGGCTTTGAATTGAATGACATATTTGTTGAAATATATGGGGGTCTAGGGACCACTCAGTGTTGTCATGAAATACCCTTGACTCCTGATCGGCCTCAACATTGGTAGATCCTGGTATATGGGTTGCAGATACCCACACTTGTTTTTCAATGCAATGCAACCATAACTTTCTTGCTATTTCATTGCAATTCATAGAATGGCTGCCCCCATATTATTAATGTAAGCAACTGCAGTTGAGTTGTCAAGYTCTAATCTAACATGAGAGCCAGATAAAGTCTCTGTAAAGGATTTGATTGCCAAAAAGGCTGCCTTTTGTGAAGTTTTTTTTTTTTTTGCCTTTTTTATTCGACAAGCGTCCCCTATCTGAGTCCGCATGTAATCAATCAACTAACATATATTTGGTTACAAGCTAGTAACAATAACACAGGGAACCCAACACCTCACTTTCTGGGATATCATGTATAATCACATTGTATGGTAATAACTAATAACTAATTGTCTTTCTAAGTGTCCAGTAGTTAAGATATATCAACTGGAATAAAACTAAAATGTTCAAAGGGAATAAGTGTTCAAAGATTTAGTTTTTCTGGTGGTTTAACCTCCCGTCCAGATCGGGTTACAACTGCCGTAGGTGTGGTCGATTGTTGAGGGACCTGATGGGGTTGTTCAGCTGCTTCCTCATTTGGACTAGCTACAAGCTGGCGTCGGTTTCTTCTCAGTAGTGACTTCTCTTTACTATATATGTCTGAAACCCACACTTTTTCACCTGGAAGAAGTGGTGGTAGTTCCTTCACTTTGTGAGAGTTGTTGTAGTATTCAGCTTGCTTCAGCTTGTAGAGGGACTCTGTTTGTAGGATGTCAGAGAGTGTGGGCCATTTAGGGTTGAGTTTGTCTGGGTTCAATGGTTGGGTAGATCTCACTCTTCGTCCAAAAAGTAGTTCAGCAGGGCTATAACCGTTATGAATCGGTGTTGAGCGGTAGGACAGCAGTGCAAGGTAAGGATCTTTGCACTTCTTGAGCATGTTTTTCACTGTCTGTACTGCTMTCTCTGCTTCTCCATTACTTTGGGGGTACCTTGGACTGCTGGTGAGGTGTGTGAATCCCCATTCATCTGCGAACTTGGCGAATTCGGCTGCAGAGTACTGCGGTCCATTATCAGAGAATACCATTTCTGGTATCCCATCACGAGCAAAAAATTGATTTGAGGTGTTTGATAACATCTATGGTGGTGGAGTCCTTTAGTGGTGCAATCTCGAAAAGTAATACACTAGGAGAACATATTCCTTGCCATTCAGGTAGAATAAATCTGTGGCAACTTTTTGCCAGGGTCGGTCAGGGAGAGGTGTCAGCATCATTGGTTCTGGGTTTTGTTTTCTCTCCCTGCAGCATGTAGCACACATTGTTACCATGTCTTCGACTTGCTTGTTGAGGTCTGGCCACCAGACGGATTCGCGGGCTCTCTCTCTGCATTTCCTGATCCCGAGGTGGCCGGTATGTATCTTGTCGAGAATTTCTAGTCTCATGGAAGAAGGAATTAATAACCTCGAGTCTTTCATGAGAAGGCTCTGTTGAACGGTGATGTGAGCTCTCTCTTGCCAGTATGGAGCGATAGGTGTTGTTAGCTGGTGTTTCTCTGGCCAACCTTCAGCACAATATTTTTTTAGCTTACGACATATCTCGTCCTCGTCTTGATGAAGTCTGATGTTTTCAAGTTGTCTCTCGGTGGCTGGTAGGTTGTCCAAGATGGATAGCACATACAGGTTGAGGTCTTTATTCAACTGCTGATCCGTTTTTTAGAGCGGTTTGTTGAGGGGCGCCCTTGAGAGGGTATCGGCTGCGTAGAGCTCTTTGCCGGGGATGTGGACTATGCTGTAGGAGTATCTCATCAAGCGCATCCTAAATCGCTGTATCCTTGGCGGTAGTTCATCCAGGTTCTTTGACCCAAGTAGAGGGACCAGTGGTTTGTGATCTGTCTCTATCGTGATGTCTTTGCCAAGGATGTAATCACTGAATTTCTCGCATGCCCATGTACTGGCAAGAGCTTCTTTTTCTATTTGTGCATACTGCTGTTCAGTGTTTGTCATTGATCTCGATGCATATGCAAGTGGTTTTCTTGTTCCGTTCCCTTCAACTTGTAGGAGTACAGCGCCAAGACCATACGACGTCTGCAGATAAGATTGTATCCTTGGCTGGATCATAGTGTGTCAGTATTGGAGTATGGCTAAGATCTTCTTTCAGTTGGTCGAATACTTTCTTTTGGGTGGCTCCCCAAGCAAATTCGTTCTTCTGATTTGATAGATCTCTAAGTGGCTTTGTCTTGTTGATGAGATTGGGAATGAACCTGCCTAGCTGGTTGACCATGCCCAGGAAGCGACGAACTTCTCCAACATTTTTGGGGGTTTCCATTTCTCGTACTGCTTCTGTTTTACCTGGCTCTAACTGTATTCCTTGGCCATTGATAATGTAGCCTGCAAACTTTATTTTACTCTTGGAAAATTCGCATTTCTCTTTGTTGAGGGTAATCTGAGCCTCATTGAGTTTTTGTAGAACTGCATGAAGTCTGGCATCGTGCTCAGCTTGATCCTTTCCGTGTATCAGGATATCATCCAATAAGGATATTCCCCCAGGGACTCCTTGTAGCTCCTGGCTGATTTTCTTTTGATAATGCTGAGGTGCGGATTTCACTCCGAATGGCATACGGTAGAAGCAATATCTACCAAATGGGGCGATGAATGTGGTGAGAAGGCGGGAATCTTCAGTCAACTTCTCTTGCCAGAATCCTGAGTTGGCATCTACTTTAGAGAAGACTGTAGAACCGTCTACTTCTGATAACAGATGGTCTATCCTTGGGAGTGGGTGTGTCTCCCTCTTGACGCTTTCATTAAGTTTTGTCAGGTCAGCGCAGATACGGACACTGCCATCTTTCTTGGGAACTACTACCATTCCGGCACACCAATCTGTAGGCTGTTCGACTTTCGATATTACTCCAAGTTTTCCATTCTTTCAAGTTCTTTCTTCACTTTGTTCTTCAGCGGAAGGGCCACGCGTCGTGGGGTAGTTAGAGCAAACGGCGTTTTCCTCAAGATCGATGTGAAATTCTCCTTTCAACTCTCCTAGACCTTCAAATAGTTTTCGCTATTGTTTTTGGATTTCTTCCTTTACATTTCCGGTTTTCACCTCGTTCACTCTTTTGACCAAGTGGAGTGAGTCAATTGCAGGGCGACCCAGTAGAGATTCGTTGAGGCCGTCGATCACATAGACTTCAGTCGTCGCCGATTTCCCGTCCATTGTTGTGACCTGTGTTTTTACTACTCCTCTAACAGAGAGCGGTGAATGTCCTGGGCCAAATAACTTCCGGTTAGATCTACTAAGTGGTTTCAATCGTGCATTGTTGTAAACTCCGTGTCTCCGATGGAGAGTTTCACTTGCCATTTCGAGTCGGTGTTCTTGTGATCGTACTTCTCCAAGAAATTTTCCGGTTTTGCTATCACTGCTATCACTATCGCTGTCTTGTTCAACGGGACTGACACTCTTTGCTTTGCAAACAGAAGCATAATGTCCGATCTTCTGACAGTGATAACATTTGTTTGATAAGGCAGAACAATCTTGGCGCCGGTGCAGCGGTGATCTCCCACAGCGATAACAGGATTTATCAGAGCTCTTAGGTTTTGGTTGGGGATTTCCTTGCGTGCTTGAGTGTTCCACATTCGACGGTATAAGTTTGGCTTTTTGTTATGAATAGTAGCCACTCTCACATCTGTAGACTCCCCGGCTTTAAGCATTTGTTGTTGTTCCTTGATCAATTCCGATGCTTTGACCTTCTTGATTGCTTCATCGAGCGTCAAGGATTYGTCAGTCATCAGTTTCTCGGACAGGGCATCGTTTCGAATTCCAACAACTATTCTGTCTCTAATAAGCTCATCTTTTAGGTCGCCATAATTGCACGATTCTGCTAACTTGTGTAGATCTTCTATAAAGTCGATAGCTGACTCGGTTTCTAGTTGACAGCGGCGGTTGAATTTAGCTCGTTCGTAGATAACGTTGGTTTTTCCGATGAATTGATCGTTGAAGCATTTCACCATGTTCTTGTAGGTTACGTCTTTTGCACCGAGAGGAAAGTTTTTTGAGATTTCGTGAGCGTTGCCTCCCATRGCGTAAATTAACGTACTAACCTGGACTGCATCTTCTTTAGTATGTAACTCTGAAGCGATACGGTAGAAGTCAAAACGTTCGATCCAAGTTTTCCACGCTTCCAGTCTCTTTGACTGGAGTTTCTCAGGTAGAGGGATTTGGCTGGCCATTGGGACTTTTGTCGGTCTTCTCGATTATCATCTGTCTCCTTACTGGTTCCGAAGATAATTTACAATTTATATCCCGCTCCTGACACCATGTGAAGTTGGTTTTAACGTATCCTTTTTATTCGACAAGCGTCCCCTATCTGAGTCCGCATGTAATAAATCAACTAACATATGTTTGGTTACAAGCTTGTAACAATAACACAGGGAACCCAACACCTTTAACTCTAAACAATTTATATGAGAAAGGGACTCTGTTTCAGACCAGCGCCCTCCTGTTCTGATTCCCCTAAAATGAGTTCCCCAACCAGGCTTTGAGGCATCAGACTGCAGAGTGTGCATAGGGGTGCCCATACTTATTGGTTTAAATGCCTTTCCTATGTTGGTAATCCACCAAGAAAGGTCTGACTTAGCTTTGTCAGATAAATGCATTCTGGCATCAAAATCGCCCTTGCTAAGCTTTAGAGCATTAGCTTTTTCAATGTCTAAAATCCTATAGAACAGGGGTGCATATCTGACAGCTGGGAAAGTGGAGACCATTGTACCAACTACATGGGCCACTTCCTGAATGGAGGGTTTAAGATTTTCGAGTAGCATTACAGAGTCCTCTTTCAATCTTTTCATTCTTTTATCAGTCAAAGAAATTATCATATTGACTGTATCAAGTACAAAACCCAGTAGTGTAAGCCTCTGAGTTGGAGTCATTACTGATTTGGATTCATTGATTACAAATCCTATACTTGTGAATAATGCCCTTGTGGCATTAACATTTCTGGTACATTCTTCAAAATCATCTCCTTGCAAGTAGGAGTCGTCAATGTATCCAAATGATATAAGGCCCCTGCCACGGAGGTTGGCATATACTGGTTTTAACAGCTTAGTAAATATTCGAGGGGCTGAGGCAAGGCCATTGGGCAGGCAGGTAAACTGATAAATTTTGGATCTCCAACTAAATTTTAAATACTTTTGGTGGTCTTTGGCCACAGGTACAGAGTAGTATGCATCAGATAAGTCAATAGAAGCCATGAAACAGTTTTTCCTGATAAGTTGGATGGCTGTATGGATTGTATCCATTTTAAAATGATGATACTCAACAAAGGAATTTAGCTTTTTTAAATTCAGAATCATTCTGTACCTCCCATCCTTTTTGGGTCTGAGAAAGATTTTTGATAGAAATTCTCCTGGTTCATGCTGAGACCTTATAATAACTCCCTTTTGTAGAAGCATTGATATCTCAGAGTCCACAATAAGGGCCTCTTGATCAGAAAAAACTGACTCTTTTGGGGTTTTGCTTTGACAAGGAGTATGGGTGTATTCAATTTTTACACCTTGAACAGACTCAAGTAACCATTTATCACTTGAGAGTTTCCTCCAAGAATCCAGATAATACCTTAGTCTGCCTGCCTGATGGGCAATAGTTTTGCCATCATCCCCTGAATCAGATAAATCATATATACTACTGACCTGACTGACTGCATTAACCACAGGGGTCACTGCTGTGACTGTGATGACTTGTGACCTTGATAATAATTCTTTCCCCCTTTTTTCCTGGGGAGGTGCTGTGGTCTCTGATTCCAACTTCCCCGATTGTTTTTTTGAGCGGTATCTCTTATTATAGTTATTATGCTGTCTGACACCTTCTGGCTCACTCTGTTAGTGGCTGTAATTTCCTGCAAGGTCTTGTGAAGTTCATCACCGAGCAACTGCCCTGTACAAGGCACATGTTCTGCACAAATTTGCTGGTATTGTTCATTCAAGTCAGGCTTGATAAGTTCCCTTCGCTGTTGAGTAAGCTCATGATTAGCTTGTGACAATAGAGAAACGGCGTCAAGAGTTGAACGAATGATTTCATCTTTCTTGGTCTCAGAGAACTGCGATACATCTGTGTTCAAAAGATGATTTGTTACCTGAGTAATTGGCATTAGCCCTTTGAGAAGCAAAGCTTGCACTTTTTGGAGACGAATATCCCTAGACCTGGTTTTCGCTTGTAATTTCGCCCAGATTTCTGCATTTACTCGAGTTACAACCAGGTTTTCACRATTTTGAGGTCGTAGGTATTGCTGCTGCTTTTCTTTCAGTTTATCTTCAATCCGTTTTGTGCGCAGCATTTTGTTTACGACTGAGGCAAGCTTTTCACTTACATCTGGCCCGCACGCTTCGTCGGCATCAAGCTCCTGTGACACCTTATTCAAGATTTCATTGTCTTGCTTATTTGTCTTGTCAGTGGTTTGTTTACCCGAAGACCGTAACAAGTCCTCGACACCCTGACCAAGGTCCTAATTATGAGTATTTGTTGACCGTTTTTTATCTTTTTCTTTGGGGCTGCTGTCGATCACAGCCTTGCTGATTATTTCCCCCAGAGAACGGAGTCCATTCTCCAGATTTTTGTTCATAGCTGAGAACTGGCTATTCAGCATTTTTTCCACTTCATTGCCAGTGGCATTAACTTGGTTGTTCTGGAGCACTGGGTCGTCACCAAGCAGAGCGGTTTCTTCGTCAACGTCCATTTTTCCGTTTAGGCGGGAAAATCTAAATCCAAGAATTATCTGGATTTCGACGGCGCTTACGTACCAATTATGGCACCTCAAACCTTCTGCAAATTAGGTTTAAAGTGAAAACACTTTTAGTGTAAAGTAGTTCAAAAAAGGCAAAATTATTCACCTTTTTCTGCAAATAATCGAGGCCACAGAATTTTCGTGGCCGACTGAATCCAAAGTAAGGCGCGCACTGAATCCTGGTATGTCACGCAATCTCATGTGGTCTCCTTGTGACTTAGCGTGACAAGGAGGTAGAATCCCCCGGGGGGTAGAGAACGGAATTTGCTCAAAGCTACGGTAATTCTCCCTATATTGCCCGACAAAATCCCCACATACCGCGGGGGTGGTGGAAACAACTGACTAGTGCATAAGACTTCAGGCTCATCTTCCTTTTATCATCTGTAATAAACAAAGTAAACAAGCAATATTGTAGCGGAGCTCCCTCTGAGCGGAGCACCATGCTTAAGCAAAAATGGTAAACCATCGAGTTGATTTTTCATGGCTTGGATGACGTCACTTCCTTCCGTCCGTCCGTGTACACAACACAGGAATCCCGCTTGATGTGTCAAAGCAAAACTACTCACAAATGCGGCTCTCAAATGCACAGAAAAAATCGCTCATGGACAAGTTATAGACCAAAAACAATTACAAGAATACTTTAATATAGTCCAAGATGGATCAAAAAGTGTTCTTCAAGAATCCATGTGTGTTTTTTTTTAGCAAACAATCGTATATATATATATATATTTTTTTTTTGACAAGCATTTTTCTCGACGAATCGACAAATCAAAAACTTTCTCTCAAAACGTTTTATATATTCCTATAAATAAGGTTAATTTATTTCAATGTTGGAGGAAATATAACACGGAGAGCATATGACGACAACAAATATTCGTCCTTTATTTTGCTTTGTAAATCTTTAATAATTCGGTTCGGTTTTTAACCAACTATCGTATGTTTTTCGTTCAAAAAAAATGCAGCTTTGCAAATTTCCTGATGTTTCACTGCAATTCCATCTTGTTTTTTGATGTTTTCTTTCTTGGAACGAATAAGATTTTCAACAGGAGATCTATAAAGCTCGCTTTGTAAATTACTATTGGAAGTAGTGCTATTGGCAAGCTGTCGTTTAGCTAATTTCTTCGGCTCAGGCAGATTTTGGTTTTCTTCGTCCTTTCTCTTGAAGGGCGCGGGTGAATGCCAGACTTCTGCTTGTAGATTAATTCTCTTCCAGTTTGCCCCATGAACGTCCTGGGCACACCTGAAGAGTTCGCTCATAAGCGTTTCTTCGAAGTTGACATAACAGCCCTCGTCATCAAGGTATCTAATCCGAATCTTGTCGCAACTTATGTGATTGAATGATTTGGTAACTTCTTTAACTCTGGATAAGTCTAAGAAAGTTAAACCGGCAGGCGAGTAAAAAAATGACCCACGTTTTTGAAAGTTATCCCCATAGGGTTTGGTTTCAACCACTCATTCATATGACCCTAGTATGACCTACTCTCAGCTCCTCTAACCCTGGGGTTAGGCCCGAATGACTTCAAACTCATATCGTAGATAGCACTAATGATGATCTACCAGGTTATGCTGTCAAAATGGAGGTACGCCCAAACCACGCCCAGTTATGGCCAAACGAAAAAAAACGGTTTTCTGTCCATCAAAAATCAGGGATTAATTTTTTTCAAAAACTAATACTGGCGCTACCTATTTAGAGTCACGACCTTGCCACACACCACATTAGAGAGAAATCTGAGCAATTATTCCATGTTTAAAAGTCGAGCTGACAAAATGAAACACGGGTCCTGATTAGGGTTAGGGTTAGGGTCTGTTTCTGTCCAATCTCCTGGTAAGAAAAGGCTTATTTTAGATTTACGCCACGTGAACAAATGTGTTTCGAAGCAGAAAATCAAGTTCGAAGATTGGCGCCTTTTGATGTCCTACGCTAGTAAAGGGGGGTTTCTCTTTAGTTTCGATTTAAAATCGGGTTATCATCACATTGAGATTTTCCCGGAACATCAAACATTTTTGGGTTTTTATTGGGTTTTTCAAGGGGTTTGCAAATATTTCTGTTTTACCATGCTTACTTTTGGCCTTAGTTCGGCTCCTTATATATTTACTAAAGTTTTAAGGCCTCTAGTAAAATTTTGGAGGTATATAACGGAGTTAGAATTGTCCTGTATCTTGACGATGGGTGCTTACACACCCTGTGCGCTAGTTACGTAACTCATAATAAATTCATTTATATTCTTATTCGCTCCCCCGCTCAACCGAATATATCAATCAATCAATCAATCAATCAATCTTTATTGTGCTCAATAGTTTACAGATAATAAATAATAATAGTTGAAATTGCAGGTGATAAGAGCACAGCCAATTAGAAATAGCAATAGCTAATCGAGCTAAGTGGCTGGGCCATGCGGAGAAAATCTATTTGTTGCTGATTGACTAAAGCAATGGATAAGACAAGACAAGACAAAAACAAAAAACGACAAGACAAGATAAGCCGGTGACAAGACAATACATTAGACAAGACAAAATGGGCTGTGCTCCTATCAGCTGGACTAGAAGTGCATCATAGAACTATCAATAATTTGATATTATAGAGGTTTTAAGATTTTTTTTGAAAAGGTTGCGAGTCATAGATTTGAGAGATTCTCCAATTGCATTCCATATTTTAGTACCATTAAAGCGAATATTGAATTTTCCATAATTGGTTCTTATTTTGGGAAGATAATATGTTTTTTTAGATGCCAATTTAGTGTTGTATTGATGTACTTCATGTATGTTTTTAAAAAAGTTTATAAACGTATTTGGTAGTCTGTTTGAATTATAGTCATACATAAAAAGAGCACTATTTGAGTATATCAAGTCTTCCAATTTAAGTATTCCTAGACTGAAAAAAAGTGGACTGGAATGAGAGTCGTAGCTTGAAAAGCTAATTATTCTCACTATCTTTTTTGTAAAGTAATAAGAGGCTGAAGAGAAGTTTTATAAGTATTTCCCCAGGTGATGCAACTATAAGATAAAAAAAGGGTAAATCAAAGTATAATAAAGCTGAACGAGTACTTGCGGGCTTACATAATATCTAATCTTTGAAAGGATTCCGATACTGCGTTTAATTTTTTTTTGTTATATGTAAGATGTGGAATTTCCAGCTTAAATTGGAGTCAATGTGTAGACCTAGATATTTGATATATTTCTCTTGTTTTATCATCTTGCTGTTGATCATTAATCGAACTTTGTAGTTTATTGGTTTTTGTGGAGGGTGAAATATGATAAAGTTTGTCTTATCGATATTCAATGATAGTTTGTTTGCCATAAGCCAGCAAGAGACAAGTTTCAGATTAGCATTAATCACACTTTCAAGTTTAGTCATACTGAAATCTGAGTAAAATAAATTAGTATCATCTGCAAAAATATGGAAGTSAAATAAACTACAGCAATTGCTAAAGTCATTAATATAWAAAAGAAACAAAAGTGGMCCTAGCACTGAACCCTGAGGGACTCCATGGGTGATAATTTCCTCTTCAGATTTGATATTACCAATCGAAACAAACTGCCTTCTATTATTAAGATAGGAATATATAAATATAAATATTTGGTACCCTTCCAACCTGTTATATCAGGATGTTTGGTTCCATTTCCTCCAGTAATGATTTCAGGATATTACGTACCATTCCATCCAGTAATATCAGGATATTTGGTGCCATTCCATCCAGTAATATCAGGATATTTGGTACCATTTTGCAGTAAAAGCAGGGTATTTGGTACCATTTCATCCAGTAATCTATTGTACACTTATTTGTAGGTTTTAGTTCTACTTATGTATTGGTATCAGCTGCTAGAAATATACCTGATGTTTTGGATATTTCTTTCCTGAAGAGACAGACGCATTTACAGAGATGAGGCGAAGGTAAAGTACACAAATGTTGTTTATGGTAATGTTGAGCGTGACCATGATGATAATGATGATGATGCTGGCAGTAATGATTAATGTTGGTGACGAAGATGATGGTGATTATAATGGTAATGATGATAGTGATTGTGATGATGGTGATGCTAATGATCAATGATTATGGTTGATATAAGGTTGTATTGATGATGATGGTGGCGATGATGATGGTTAACGATTGTTATGATGGTGAAGATTATTGTGATGATGCTGCTGATGATGCTGATTATAATGAAAAATGATTCTGATGATGATGTTAATTAATGATGTGGTGATGATATCAAGGAATGATGTCATGTAATGATAGTCATGATAATCTTTTTGCTCGATTTTTCACACTATAATCCTGTTTACAGAACCTACGTGATTCACTGGGCTGTACGTACGACGCACGGATCCCAGAAAGCCGGAAATAGGTGAGTTATCGTCATCATCCCTCTTTTCGTACATCTATTTATATTCTCACTCTTCAATCATTTTCTATTCCTAGATTTCCTGGGAATCTTCCACCCTGGGCTTGTGGTTTACAGAGCTGATAGAGCACAATGCGCAGGTCTCTGTTTTTTTGATGGTCGCTCTTATGTGTTCTGGATGACTGTATTCTTAAATCCTCAGGAATTCTCGACAGCCATGAGACAGGTAAGACACCTAACGTTACGTCATTACAATCACGCAATCATGTAGTTAACTCAGTCCTATCACATCATATCACAAGAATAGTATTTGTCACCCCAGTTACTTATCACCAACCAAGCAAGGTCCTTATGTAGTAGCTCTATTTACCTACCCGTTACTATATGAACCATTCAGAATCACAACTAAGTAATTAATTCAAATTAATTCAAATTCCTCTTATTCACGTAGTCAGTAATTTAGGCATCCAGCAGTAATTAAGCGTTAAGTTCTTACTACAGTTCCATATGTGCTTACAAGTTCTAATCTTCGTATGTTACTGTTGTGTCAACAGGAAGTCTGTCGTGCGAACAAAGGCTGGTCACTAGACTGCGTAGTCCTACACAATGACGTCACACGGTTCTCAAAGATGACATCACAAGTCCCCCAACTGAAGGTGTCGACGTGCATGGATTGTGTCTAGATGGAGCAGGATCAGGGTTCGACGAAGCTGTAAGCTGATAGAACCTGCACCTATCCAAGTCCTCTTCACCTCTGTCACTGTAGTTTATATTTATGACAATCGATTGTACCATTGTCCTATTTATAGGAAGCAGCGACGCACAGACCTGACATACATTGCCTGCGTGGACTTGAACACCAATCAGAACCCAGATCTATGGATACTACGTGGAGTGGTTTTGCTATGTGATATCAAGTAAAACAGTACAAAAACATTTATTGATAGAGATCATATAGAGATATGATAGTTTTATAGATAATCTATAGACATCTTCTACGTTAGATTATGCAGCAGTCTTCTTATGACTGTAAAACGTTCGCGGGATGAACGCGGTCCAGATACTCCCAACGAATTTGAAAGGAATCACGTTGCGCAAGGGGAAAAAACGCTATCGCGTTGCGCGAGAGAGAAAAAAGCCGATCAAAATTATAGAAAATGTCACGGTCGCCATACGACAGTTTACGACGCCATGTATATCACAATCATACAAAATCTGCTTTAGCAGGATGCGTGTTACTGAGAAAGCAAAGGACGCGTCTATATACCACCTGTTCAGATCATATTTCTATGTGCACCGTCTTTCTATAGAGCTGTTAAGTGTGACGTAATTAGAACGAGAAACGACTTCCGGGTCCAACTTAATAATTACTTCTACAGATAATTTTTTCTTCATAGCATGATTTTCTGTTCGTATGTCTAATTGTTGGAGGTAGAGAATGAATCCTGGGAATAAGTTGTGGCAAGATTTTAGCGATCTCTTGCGTGATTGGATCCGGAAATACGTCACAACTTAAAAGCCCTATAACATATGTTAGTCTGTATTATTTATGATGAGCTTAGATTTCGTTGCCAGAAAAACAAGTAAGCCACAAAAGAATTTCGTAGACCACAGAAATAGATTTTTTTCAAATAATGAATAGTAATACTTAGTATGTTTTGATGTGATTTGTAAAACAATATACACCTAAATCCAAAATGGTGCAGGGCCAGTTGAAAATGAGGCATCCATGGCCAAAATTAGAAATTTACTGTATTTTCTCATAAATTAATGCTGCAAAATTGTCACGTTCCTGAATGTAAGAAGAAAGAGAAGACAGAACAAGTGAACAAGTGTATACTTTGCATTGACACCATATTATTTCTTTGCATTTGACCCTAGATGCCTTGTTTTCATGTAACACACTCAGCCATGCATCATTTTGGATTCATTTATTTAGGTGTATTAGCTCATAGATGTAGAATATAGAATATCTTTTAGCAATTAATAGGAATACTTAGTGTCTAAAATATACCAATAGTAAAACAAGTTGAAAAGTCTGTGGTGTATGTCAAAAATGATTGAAGTCATAGACAGACAGACAGTATTAAAATATACATAGACAAAAACATATTATAATATACATAGACATTTTACCCGAATAAACATATGAAGGCTATAAATGTTGGTTTATAATAATTTCTAT